CACGACAGTCCACAGTCCCAGCCGAAAACCACTCACGAGGATGGGAGCCGAAACTTCCTCACATGTGGAATCAGCTGTAGAAACGGTGACGCCTAAGTTCTGGTTCCTTCCACGACATTAAAAACATTGCCACGCTTTCAGTAAAAGGGTGAAGATTTGTGGGAGCAGCCAGGGGACCACACTCTGGCGGCGGTCTCCCCATTCTCTGGGGAGGGGTATTATTCTTCTATAATTTGGCTTCGAATTACCGCACTGACTAGATTGAAATCCCCAAGGCATTTAAAACGACGTAAGAAAAATATAAATAATGTATAGCCTTTGGGGGGGCTGGTTTGAATCTCTGTGTCTGAGACTTTCAGGTGACCAAGTGTTAAGATACTCCATCGGCTACGAATATAGTCTGTACAACTTCCTGGGGAAAACGAAACAGCGGTGTCACAATAGGAAATGTTGCGTTAACCGTGACAAAGCCTGGGTTTAAGAGTGTCAGGGCCCCGAAATAATTTTTATTAAAAATCGCTATAACTCTGACATGAAAACACGATCAAAGAGTTCTCCTCAGATATAAACGAACTCAACAACTAAGGACATCTGCACACTGACGTGGCCACATCTGGATCACAGGGCCTTTGGAAAATGTCTCCACAGAGTAAATGTGTTTCCGTGGACGAGAAATCCTCGCATCGAAGGGCTTCGTGAACACGCCGCCAAGGGCGCTGAGCAGGTGTGAGGTGATGCACGTGGCAGCCGGTGAACACCTTACAACGGCCACTTTTATTTCTCTTTGTTTTTATGTCAGTAAATAATGCTCGATGTCACTTTATAATTCTTTCTGCAGACTAAGTTTTTTTCCTGGGTACCTTTTACTCATCGGCAAGCTTTCGATAGGCTGTTAAGCCTCATTATCCGTTGCCAATGACAGGATAGCTGCGTGTGCCCCCGTGATCACACGCCCCCCAATGATCACACGCCCTAACTAACTTCCACGGGAATCAGGGTATGAAGGGCCCCCCTGCACCCATCTCTTTCTGCAGCACCTCCTAGGGCGGGCGGGTGGTGGTTTCCAGGTTAAACACTCAGAATCCCCTGATGGAGAGAGCGGGACTGCAGAGGACATGTTTCACGAGCCCAGGGGTTGAAGGAAGGCTGCCGTCAGTTTGATGACTTGCGGCCATTTACATAAAGTATCTTTACCAGATGAATCAAGGAAATAACAGGCTGACTTTAGACTGGTACGGAGAACACGGAGCCACAGGGAGCGACCCCGTCCGCAGGGCCTTGCGGGGGCCCCTCTCCCGGCTGGCGAGGCGCCGGGGTTCCAGCGTCGTCCTCCCCGTGTGGTGAGACTTGCTTGGGAATCACCCGCGGGGTGGAGGGGATGTGGGTGGCTCTGGACGGAACGAGCGTTGGTCGTTGTTGGAGCCGACTGGTAGGCACACGAGGACGCATTACACGATTTTCTCTCCCTTAGCGCATGTTGGGAATTTTCCAAAAGTTAAAAATAAGGAAAAGAAAGGCCCTCCCATCGACTTCTTAAAAAGAACGTGGCATCTGGACAGGAAGTACTAAAGTCAGAAGGCTCCGTGAGGCACCTGCTCTGTGTGATGCTGGGCTCCACAGACCTTCGTCCTTCAGTCCTCGTGACAACTCCGTGAGGTCGGAGCTGTTTCCAGCCTCGTCCTACAGACGAGGACACGGGAATTCAGACTACAGTTGAAATGACTTTCCAAGTGAGCGGCTGGAACTGCGCCCGGGCCGGCCAGACCCCGGGTCCCTGCGCTTCCCATCAACGTGTGCATCTCCCCCCCCACCCCCCGCCATCTGGAAGCGCAAGGTGTGACGCCCCGCCAGTCACCCAGAGGAGATGCGTCTTCGTTTAAGATAAACATTTGGCTGCAAAAAGTAGACGAACCGCAGATACGACCGTGAAGACAAAACCCAGTGGAATGGAAGCCGAGTGACAGGCCTACGGCCACTTTTCCAACCTCAAACGGGAAAACGGTTTCCACGGTCGGCCCAGGCTGGGGAATGCCACACTGCCCGTCACGTGCCCCGTTTTGAGGTCCTTTTTGTCCGGCGACCTTTTAAAGGCTCTGAAGAGCGGGCCCTTTTTCATTTGGGGACCCCTCATCCAGCTCAGAGTCCTCGTGGTCGAGGCGGCTGCTCCGCCTCAGTCCCCGCAGGTCGGGGGAGCATCCAGGCCTGGCCACCCTGAGCGGCACCTGCCCCCGGTGACAGTGACAAGGAGGCTGGGGCAGTGGCTGGAGCTCTGGCAAGGAGGCAGCTGCTGCCTCTGAGGCTGTGCCTGCTGAGCGCTGGGCCGGGGGAGCTGGTGGGAAGGGAGGCAGCACGGAGAACAGCGAGGCCCGTGGGGAAAGGTGCCTCCTGGACACGCGGTTCGAGGGTCTGGATTAGGTTCTACAAGACACCACCTCTAGCCCTGGACTCGGAGTTCCGTGCATCAAAAACGGGTTTGCCTTAGGTGCCTGTAACTTGTAACTAAAGAGCGTCCCGACGAATAATCCTATGTAGCTTTGTTGGATCCTCGTTCCCTGAACGCGGGTGGAAAGCTCCCGTGGGGCCAGCGTCCCAAGGCCGCACGTCGGAACGCTGAGAGGGCGAGAACAAGGCCGCCTCCCGGGCCAGGTTCTGATCGGCTAGCGCTGGGCCGGGGCCCAGGAACCTGACGTTTTCAGTAAGTGCCCCAGGCAGCTCTGACGCAGCTCGCCGGTAAAAACACTGTTCTAGGGAACGCGCTTGGGAAATACAAGCCTAAGGGACGCTTTTATGTGGGTTGCACAGCTTTTCTCTGCGGTGGCTTTCATGTCTGGCCAGGTACTTTCACACGATGCACGCTGGTCGAAGGACCGTTGGAAGCACGTAAACGAATCCCCGCTGGTGTAAGGCACGTGCGCGGGGCTCGGCACGGTTGCCGGGCGCTGAGGGCTCAGGGCCCCCGCACGCTGCTCCTCGGAGGATACAAGGCGGCTGCCAGTCACACCTGGAGCACACAAACAGGCGATGCTGGGGAGGCCCCGGAGCCAGGAGAAGTGACTGGGACCACAGCTTTGGCGCCGAAAGGTGCTCAGTCACCTAATGTGACCCTCGGGTCTCAGCTGGGGGGTCTGGAGTCATGTCCGCTTGATGGTGAGCTGTGAAATGCTACACTTTCGAAAATCCGTTTGGCAACAGAGCCTCAAAATTCATAGTCTCTGACGCAGCGATTCTACTTCTATGACTCTGGCCCGGAAAAATCATCAGAGGAGTGAGCGAAAACCCCACACGGCGATGCTCCTCAGAGCCGTGTCGCTGACGGCCGAAACGCTTCAGACAACGCATGTGTCCGTCGGCTGGGGAAAGGTTCAGTTTGGCGTACCGCCTTTAAAGAGCACGTGGTCTGTGTCAAACCGACAGGCGTCCGCACAGCAACCGAAACGATCGACAAAGGGAAAAAGGCGGCCCACGGAGGGGGAGAAAATGTTTGCAAACCACGCGTCCGTTACGGGGTTAATATCCACGGTAGATGGGGAACGCATACGACTCAATGCAGAGAAACCAAACGACCCATTTTAAAAATGGGCAAAAGACCTGAATAGACATTTTCCTAAAGAAGATACTCAAATGGCCAACGCGTACTGAAAAGATGCTCGACATCACTCATCGTCAGGAAAATGCAAATCAAAAGCACCACGGGAGGTCGCCTCACACCTGTTAGAATGGCTGTCATCGGAAAGACAAGAGATGACAAGTGCTGGCCGGGAAGTGGAGAAAAGGGAGCCCTTGGGCACGGCTGGTGGGAACAGATAAAGAAAATGTAGGGTTTGGGTGCATATATGTATATATACGTGCGTGTGCTGTATCTATAGTGCATATATGCTCACTGAGGATATTGATATATGTGTATACATATACACACACATACACATACACATATGTATATACAAATCTATATAAATACTCTATAAAATGTTGATATATATACTGAAACATATCTATAAGCACCACATAATGCCAATTCTTTGTTTTAAAATATAGATATATCTATATCCATATGTAAAACAACAGAAAAAAAAGTCCACCAAAATCTTAACAGTGATTATCTGAGTAATTTCTATTTTCCTCTCCATAGTTCTATATTCTAAATCAAAAAAGGTTATAACATTAAGATATATAGCCTTTAAAATCATGTTTTCAGAGAATCGTTAGTAAAATAGAAAATGCTAATCACACAATATGAAGTGAAAATGTAGGATCAAAATATATATATTCGATATGGTACCAACTAGTGTTTTAAAATTATGTGTACACATACATCTACAAAAAATCCAGGAAGACACTAATCACGGCTAAGTCTACGTAGTGGGATTATAAGGAATTATTCTCTTCATTCCACTTACATACCTTTCCCAAACTTCCCACCACGAGCGCGAGCAAACATTTCGGGTCAGGAAAGAAGCCCGCTCGGTGGCATCTTAAACCACAGTTTCTGTGCAGAGCATCCTCCTTAGGAGCGTGGCTGGTCCACCTGGAGCCCGTCCAGCTGGGGGCGTTCATGGGGTCACGAGGAGAGACTGCATCTCCTGAGCCCACAGCCCAGGACGAGCACCTGCCTCCCAGAGGCACCCCGCTCACGCCGGCCAGGGACCCACCCAGACAGGCGGCAGGAAAGGCCGGACGGTGGGCATCGTCTGGGCTCCGCCTGTGCGCCTGTGCTGTGCCAAGGGCCTCGCCTCCCTAAACCCCACCAGGCCGTCCTCGTCCGGCTCCAAAACCCACGTTCTCACCGACATCAAACTTTGGTAAGAAATACGTCTTTTAGGAGCATCTTTATGGGAAGTCTATTCCCGTAGGAATGTGTCGGCCATGCCCAGAACCCTCTTTCTGATCCATCTATGTGAGACTAATGTTAAATGTTTACGTTGACCTGCAATTATTGCTCCCAGGGGCCGTTTTCGTTAATGACGCGTCCCACTGCCGGTCCCTGTTCCCGTGTCACCTACCTTCTCTTCCGACGGGTAGAAGCCGATGGCTCTCATGACGAAAGGGAGCTCCGACAGGCAGATGTGTTCCGACACTTTTCTCGTCTCCATTGTGTCGATCCCTTGACCACGGAGCTGAGAATAGTAAAAATAGTCTTCCAGCTCCTGCGTGGGAATAAAATGGAAACACAACACGCGTCTTGGCTGAAGTCTGAAGCATCCTTTAAGACTGGGGGCACATTTTCTAGAAAGTAAGTACATTTGGAGCTCAGTGGGAAAGAGAACTTTGCAGGGAGGGGGGCGAAGCCAGAGGGTTAAGCCCGGACACATGTGTTTTGACAAATGTAACTCCATGTTACCAGGCAGTGTTTACTCGGAGGACAATTACCCTGTAGAATTTTCCTTCCCGGCCGCCAGACACCAGACTGTAGAACGGGGTCAAGCCTTCGCCCCCTAGAGAAACCGCTGCCTCCAGAGCACTGAACAGGAACAGAAACAGGGCTGTTAGGAAGCCCTGGGCGGGGACCGCCGCCCGCCGCCCGCTGCTGCGGGGCCTCGGGCTGTTCCAGCACGCACACAAGGAGGGTCTCTGTAAACTTGTCAAGGAAATGCCCTCCGAAACGAAGCCGAAAACGGGGAATTCAGTTTCGAGCGTGGAAACCGGTGGGACAGGGCGCTGGCCTTAATGACGGTGATAATCGCTCGCTGGCGACAGGGCGGGTGCTTGGCGGTTTGTCTACAATCTTTGGGGACCCCGGCTCTCCCCGGGGGAAGGCTCCCGTGAGCGGCTCTGCCTGTGGCTTCAGATCTGCACAGGGCCAGAGCAGAGAGGAAGGGGTGGGACAGGTGGACCGTCAGCGCTAATTGCTTCCATAAAAACTCGGGAGGCCACAAGGGACCCATGCCGGTCGGATAAAAATAACCCTCTGCTCTCTTAACACCGGGGTCAGGTCTTCCAAAAATAGGCCTTTTTAATGGTAAGAAAACCTACTTTTTGCGTGAGACTGACTTGGCCTCCTACAAAATGCTAATGATAAGCATTCGTTATAATGGTCCACTAACTGGATTTCTGCTAGTCGGGCCATCCGCCTCCTGGTGGGTTGTGAAAACGCACACTCGGTGTAGCCCACAGCAGGGAAGTGGTTTAGTGCCCGGAATCTGGAGTCAAAGGGACATGCCTGTGAGTCTTAGCCTTGCCTCTTGCAAGCAGTGCGACCGCGGGCAAGCAACTTAACCTCCCCGGCCTCGGCTTCCTTGTCTGTAAAAGGGGAGTGATTACAGGGTCTGCCTCAAGGGTTGCTGGGAGAATTAAATAAGTAGATGCTCTAAAGGATTCGACAGGAAGTCCTTCATTTCACCCCTGTGACAAATGTTGGTCGAGGCGTGGGCTTGCATCCCTACCCCATCGTCTACCCTGTCACCTGGGTGGGTCATTTAACCCCTCGGAGGCTCAGGCGGGACAGTTAGGATCACTGTCCCGGGGGGGTGGGGCTGATATGCGCCTACACCTCTTAAAAGAGTCAGCCACACACTGGCCTCAGTCCCCTTGTCTGGACCCTGCACGAGCTCTCCACAAGCAGGCTGTGCTCTGCAGGGGAGCCCGGGGGCCCGGTAGCCCCGTCTTCACCTGGCCCTTGGCTCTCACACTCGCCGTCGAGGCAGGTGTCTGGCTGAGAGGCCTCCCTCTCTGTGGCCTCCTGGCCAGGCCCACGCCCAATCCCAACAGGCCATGTGGGTGGTGAGGCCGCTTTCGGCTCTGCAGCTCTGGAGCAAGGCCAGGTGAAGGCCGGAAGCGACAGGGAGGAGCCTGACACCACCAGGAATGGCTGAGGGGACAGGCTCACGAGCGCTCTGGACTCTCTGGCGGTCGGGACTGTTCTACGTCCCCTGCTTCCTGGCCACTGTCGACTGACCCGAGAGAGCCAGGGGGACAGGACTGGAGTTTGTCCAACCAGAGCTGGGGATAAAGATTCTGGAGGGAGTAGCAGTTTGTGGAATTCGGGAACGGACCGCAGGCCACATTC